GAGTGATTTGTTGCTGTTGAGGTTCATTAAGATGTTTATAGGTCATTTCACAAGATAGTAGTTCATCTAAAATATTTCGTAGTAGTTGTCAGTGATCTTATTCCTTTTTACATAGTTGGTAGTTGTCATCAATTTTATTTAATTTATTATGGCACCAACATTGATTTCCCAGTCCTTGCTAATGATATTTCCATTTAATATCTTTAGGTAGTTGAACATTAAATTTCTGGTTTAAACTTTCAAAGTATTGGAAGGAATATTTCTGTCTATTTACTGAAGTTTGTTTTGGATTACTTTTAGCTAAGGGAATAGAGTCGTTGTAATCTCTCAATATTATATAGTGTCATTGAGCTATTAATTCCTCATTTTTATATTTTTCATCAGAGGAATTTTTGATAATGTCAACAGGTTGCTGAAAATGATTGAACTGCAGTTTCTTTCAACAGGTCATAGGTATCTGATATTTTTTATTATTTCAGATAAATGTAAATTTTTGATAGTTCTAATAAAGTCGTCCTCGACATTTGGTAAGCCAATCATTTCCTACCATTATATAATAATCAATTGATTCAGTGATATTGACATTAATAGGGACTTTTATACTATTTATTTGTAAAGGAATATTAATGACTCGTCCTAAAGGTCATGATCATCTTCCTTGTATGTTGATCATTGTGATAGTAGAAACTGATTCGACTTTTCGCCATAATTGCTGTAAAAAGGATTTAAACATTACACTTCCAGCTAATTCTGAATCTAAAATTAAATATATTTATTTATTGTCTACAGTAGTGTTACAATAAACTGCTTCTACAGTTCTTGGTAATTCCAAGGGGTTTATATTTTTATTAGTATGTTCACCCTCCTGAGGTACCGTCAATAATTTAAAGACTGGAATGAAGAGGCAAATGTATTCTGTATGTTTACTGGCAGTGGATTTGGAAGAGGGAAGGTTATGAAGGTTTGTGACGATGGAGTAAAGCCTGTGCTATATATTAGTGTAATTTGAAATAATGCAGCATGTTGTCTGATATTAAAGCCAATTAACGTATTAACATTTCCTCCAGTATTTTCAACAGGGTTATTCACGTTCCTAGTTGAGCATACATATCCTAATTTCTAAATTATTCACAATGCGGGTAGGATCCTCTTGGCGGATTATTACAATTTCTGGAAATATGTTCCTTTTGGTGACAACTATAACAAGTAATCCTTGTGCTGGACCTATTAGTCAAATTATATTGATTATTCCTATTATTATTCTGACTTTCTGGATTATTTCTTTGCCTATAATCTCTAGCAATATGATCAGGTCATCCACAATTATAACAACTTTGGTTGTTTTGATTACTATTATTATTATTACTATTATTATTCCTTCAGTTATTATTTGTATTAGCTGGGTGTGGGCTTATGTTTTGAGCATGTAGCATAGTATTTGAGGTAGTTAACAATTGCTTAAATTCTTTTATCAGCTTGTCATTATTTCGATCAATAAGTTGTTGAATGTTTGGAGTAGTGGTGGAGTTTTCAATAGCATCGTCATCTTTTTAGTTTAGATATGTTTTACTTAAAGAATACCTAGAAAGCATACTATCCTTAGATAATACTGCTTTAATAGTTTGTACTCGATCAATTGCTTCTTCTAAGTCACAGGATGCAGCAGCAGTAATAGCAAAATGAAATTCTAGGCAAAGCTTCTGTAAAAATTGTTCAATTTTCTCATCTTCTGGCGTATTATAATCAGGGTCTAATTTAAGGTATAATGATTCAACATCAGCAGCATAATCTTTGACTGACTGTCTAGTACGTTATTTACATCATCTGAATACTGAACGCTATTGCATTTTTCGATAAATTGTACAATAATGTTTCAAGAAGTGGTAAATAAAGGAGCGATGTTTATGCTGTCAATTAGTCAAATTATCCCAATATCACAAATCTTTTTCATTCTTAGTTTTATTATACCAAGTGAGAACTGATCCTTTCAAAAATAATGGGACTAATATAAGACGTCATCTGTCAGAGATTCTATTTGCATCTCCAGCATTATTATATCTTTCTAACCAATCACGAGGATCCTGGTCTCCTCCTTTGAAAGTTGGTAAATCTACAAATTTTGCTTCTTATTGTCTTCCAAATCCAACAGTTTTAAAAACAGTTTGCAATTCTTTCATCATCTTAAAGAAGTTTCGTTCGTCTTGATTATTTGTGCTATTTTCATCAAATGGGTTTTCATCCTCATCGTTATCAGAATTATGATTACTAGAGTCAAAACTAGAAGAAGATGAAGAACTATTATAGTAGGACATAGAATGACAGCTCTTCTGTTTACTAGTCTTCTTGTCCTTCGATCTTTTATCTTTGTGTTGATCTCGTGAACAATCAGTTTTCAGCCTAGAGAAACATGAGGAACTAACATTCTTTTGATTAGAAGTTACGTCTTTCTCATCAGAGGATCTTATGTAGGTTAGCTTAAGTAATTTTCCAGTTCCTCTATAAGAGTTAAAGGTAGAGTTATCGAAGCTTAAGGTTCATTTATCAGAGTTCCTTTCACTTGGAGTAGTATTCGCAATGATAGTCTCATCAGGTAGATAACCTTCCTGAAGGAGCAGATCTTCTTTTGCTGATTCAGACATAGTACTATTTCTGCAGGTTATTTAGGGTTTGGTAATTCTAGATAGAGAAAAGTTATGACTTATATTTAAGAGTGATATATTGAGGTAATTAAGTAAATCACCTTGATATTTCTTCTAGAATAATTCAGTTTCAATTTGAGTCTAGATACAATATTCAACAGCTCGCTCAAAGGTTAGTATCAGTACTTACTTATATTTCAAAGTTTTAAGTGTCTGCCTATAATATATTTCTTATACACCAGTAGTTTCTACAGAGATTGCAGTTTGAAAGGCTTTTAAACTTTTGCTAGTATATAATAGTACCCCTAAGATTTTCTGTGCCTACTCAAAAAAATTGAGGAAAGATTGAGGAATTTTCTTAGGAGATGGGTTACAAGCGATGCAGAATGGGTTGTTGGTTAAGGTAAAGTTACTAGTAATTTTTCTAAAGTTACGCTCTGATTTATTGTGTATAGCTGAATGGTTTCATTGATACTTAATTAATTCTTTAAAGTTATTTATAGAGTATTTCGCATGGGTTATTATTGCGCCAATTAGGAAAAAATGGTCCTATTATCATTGCCAAATGTTAACGTATAATTCTTATGAACTACAACTGTTAGATAGGGTGTTCAAGCGGTTTATTCTTTTTAATTGAGCAATAATCTTTCAACGATTAATGAGTTTTATTCCAGACTGATTATCAAAGTGTTTATACTATTATGACAAGTAATAATTCAACAGATTGCCAATGATTTATAATTGTAAAATAATGTGTTTATTCATAAGTAAAATAATAAAAATAAAAGAAAAGAGGGATCAGCGTCTCTAGTTCAATTGATAACAACTGAGCTCCTATTGTAGGTTACACTGTGATAGCTATAAGTTCAGATCTTAGTTGAGGCATAAAACTAGATGATTTTCATAAGAATTTCATATGTAACTGAATATGTAGGCGTATAGACTAATATGCATTAGAAACTGGTTGATCAATCTGTCGATCAACGTTTATCATGCCTAAATACTGGGTTTGAAGAACAAGTGGATGCAAATAAAGCCAGGGATCAACAGAAACTTGGCCTTCACTGATAGGTCTGTAATAGATACTGTCTCACGTCTTCAAATCTCAGGAGTCCTTACACAAGTAAGGAAGTAGTAAACCAGTCATTAGTAGTTCTGGAGTGTACTACAGACTGACTTGCATGCTGCAGCTGTGGGCCAGATCTTGTTACCATTAGGGTTAGAGGTCAGGTTCGATTCCTGGGTGAGTTTGACGCTATGAGTATAAAGCCACTATTTATATAAAGAACCCGATCCCTTGATCTCAGAAGTTAACAATAGGTAAAACCCTATAAGTGTTTAGTAAAAACAGTGCGTCAATCACTGTAGCTGAAGTGAGCCCTCTATCCAATTCTAGTAACCAATAAAAAAATCCATTTGGGGGTCAGTTGATACGGAAAACTAGGGTCAAACCCAGTTGACTGTAAGACTATACACTGATAACAACCCACAGTAAGTATAAGTAACGAGGTTGCATGCTATTTATTCACATGAGACCTAAGAAGAAAGGCAGGTTAGACATTGCAGTCTTTCTCAACCTTTATTTTCGAAGTGACGCACTGTAAAAAAAAAAAAAAAAAAAAAAATAAAAGAAAAGAAATAAAAGGAAATAAGAAAATAGAATAAGAAAAGAAAAGAAACGAATTACTAAAACTAAAATGTAACGTGATAGACTAATTGCCTCTAAAACTACTAAAACTAACTTGTCAAGTTCCTATCTGTCTCCCTTTTTACATGAACTAAAAAGCTATCTATTTATATAAAATAAATTACATAGAAAGATATAACTAACATGTCTACTATATCAACTATGTTTAATATATCAATTATATCTAATATGTCAATTATCATCAGTAAGTTTTGGATAGGCATTTGATGACATTGATCAAAAATGCCAAAAAGCGTTAAAAAATGGACCTAATGTCAACTAACGCATTTAAAAACGTATATATCAACATTATTTTATATGTAAATCAATGTATAGTCAATCTACGCTAGTTGAAAAATGCGCAAATTATTGTTTGTTAATGCATTTATCAACACTAAAATACATTATAGCAACGGTGCTTTAAATAGTAGTTTTTTTACTAATAGTTTATTAATAGTGTAATATTTTCGCAATCTGATGTAATTGATTCATTGAATTATCATAAAAAATATTATCTAAACGTTAATATTGAGAATTTTGACATTGTTTAGATTTAGCATGTTCAGTAATCTACTTTTACGATCTATCATATTTTTTAGAATAATTATGAAATGAGAAATTAATGTTCTTTTGTATCATGTTAAAATAATGATTCACAAACTATCTTGAAAAAATCAATTGGCCATTACAAGATCATCATTGTCAGAATTTTCTGGCTGTCTATCTTTGTTAGTCATCAATACATCATCCACCACATCATCTATATTACTATCCTCTTCAATATGTTGATCTAGAGGAGAATAAAATGCTTCTTCATCAGCGTTGTCAACCTAAGTAAAAATAAAGTATTTTAATGACATGACAAAGAAACGAATAAACCTAGATATAATAATTACAGTATGTTCTTTATCAACCAACGTTTCAATCCATGAATCAAGAATTTCTGTATCAATTTTTGTCAAGAAGTATTTTTCGTTAAATATTGTCTTTAATACAGACTGTATCCAAATGCCGTTTTTTACTATACGTTCGTTTTCTAATGAAAAAACTGATTTAATTATTAGTGTAATATAGGTTTCTGAATCTGGATCATTCGGATTACTTAGAGTATACAGATCTTTGTGGACTTTTTATACATTCTCGAGTTCCTTCCATTCCTTCATCTGTGATTTAGTGTAATTATCTCCAAACGGTTTTATCCTATTGATTCCAAATGTACTTCACAGCGCTTTCTTAATACGTCACATATAATAATCTTTCTTTGATCGATTTGAGATAAGTAACTAAACATTTCGATAGTATACACTATTAACTTATTAAATAATACACATCATATTTGTTAATTGACGAATAATAGTAATAAATTAAAATACCAACAGAAGAATAAATTTTTTCTTCCTAGAGTTCTTTGAATGTAACACCTTTTTCTTCTAGCTTTATGAGTTGGCTACTACAATAATCATTGCTTTCCAGAAAAGATTTAAATCGAATTTTGAGTTCTTTATCTGTAATCTGTTGATTATGTTTGTGGAACAACTTGGTTAAAAATTATTTAATGGCATTTTGCTGTAATATAAATAAATATAAATAATGGACGTAAAAATAAAAGAATTAATAAGAAATATATAGTTACGTGGTAAAAAGATTTCGACTTGTCAATTTTCTTTTTTTCTTTTCCTTTACTAAATTTGCTATCTTTTTTGGTTTCAATATTTCCAAATTTTTTCAAAAGTTCAGACATTTGGGCAGTTTGTTCTTTAATCATACCTTCTAACTTACTTTGATTTTTTGTTAATTCATTAAGCGTTAAATTCGTTTTTTAGCAAATTTGTAATAACTTTAACAAACTTCTTTGATCTAGTTTATCTGCAGTTACTACAATAAATACATAGTAAATGTTAATTAATACGTGATCATGTTAATAAACGTAATAAATAGTTTATAAACGAAGAACTCTATCTTGAAAAGTTATTACTTTTGAGGAGGAAGAGGAGGAAACAACTTCTCTAGATTTAGATACGACCGTTGTTGCAGTTGTAGGTATTTTAGAGGAAGCTGTATATATAATAAACTTTAATAAATATGTGATCGTGTTATTAAACATAATAAACAGTTTATAAACGAAGAACTCTACCTTGATGAGTTGTTACTTTGGAGGAGGAAGGAACAACTTCTCTAGATTTAGATACAGCTGTTGTAGAAGAACAAGCTGATGATGCTTTAGAAGAATTAACCGGTAATACTGTCGATGATGTTTCTTTCGTTGTTGAAGATAAAAGGCTTGAATTATTATCGAACAAATCAATTTTCACTATTTTTACTTTTTTAGATTGTGAAATAACGTCGTCACTTAGTTGTGATAGTAAAGTTGAAGTTGAAATTGTATCCAATGTTTCTTGTAATGGTGGCGATAGAGTAATTGATTGTGTACCTATGATCATGTATTTTTATGTGATTTAACGGCAGTATCTGTTAATAGCGTATTTTTGGAGTACATTTTATCCAATAAAATCTTCCTACCAGTCAAAGCCTAGAGGAGAATTATAATCTATGTAAGTGACCTTAAATAAACATGATTTTCATGACATAAAATAATTGAATTAATTATCTTTTTTTCGTCTCGATCCTAGTTGATCTTCTTTTTGGTTGTTGTAAAACATTAAAATTGAGAGTTTTACTTTCTTTGTTTTCTATATTCTATTTTTAAAAAAATATAAATTTAATTAAAAAGGAAGGAAGAAAAGAAAGAGAGTTAAAAAGCAATTCATTATTATTTCACTTAAAACGTCAAGAATCAGTAGTTAATCACTATCAGAAAACGCCTTGACGTTCGTATTAATGAATTTCATTTTCCTTAATGATTTTTTGATCTGACCAATATTGTTCAATGTCATTTTTATGATTATTAATAATTAATAATTATTAAATTATAACTATGTATAATTTTAATATATTGAAATATTGTAATGTCTCACCTGTTATAAGACTGAGAGAGGAGACAAAAATAAGCTATAGTTATTCAATGCCATTTGTTCATAATTGTTAAAAAAATGCGCTACCAATGTCCACATTGTGAAAGGGATTTCTCTTGTCATACTGCTTTACGAAACCATATAAAAACTCACGAAAGTGCAATTGATAGAATTTTAAATGAAATTGCTGAAAAAAGTGAAGAAGAAGTGAGAAATTTTGAAGAAAGTACCCAACTAGAAAGTGAGGAAGAAATGTATTACAAAGACCAAATAGAAGAAACAGAAATGAATGTCGAATATAATTATCTAAATGAAAAATTAGATGACATTCAAGAAGAGTTAGTTGATATTCAGGATGAAAGGTTAGATGAAGTTCAAAAGTTGGGTGACATTCAAAAAGAGTTGGATGATGTTCAAGATAAAAAGTTGGTTGACATTTAAGAAGATAAGTTGATTGATTTCGATGATCAAGTAAGATTTTTGTTAATTTATACTTTGCTTGTAGTACAAAATATACTTTCTAATTTACTGGATTATAAACTATATTAGGATGAGAAGGATGATACAAAAGATGATATTGAGATTGATTTCAAGTTAATTGATGTTGAACCAATTCTAACCTTTGAGACTATTGACGTTAGAAGTTCAACAACAAACAGGCCAGAATTTCCAAGTGAAAAATTTGGAGACTTTATGGAATTGCTTATCAAGTGGAACTTATCAGATGCATACGGTAGCGATAGACTCAATTTTCATGAAAGATTTGTCGTGATGACATAAATTTATTTTCGTCAGTAAAACAAGACCGTCAGTTATTAGATTGAATAAATATACTGCATATCTCTTTTAACAAAGTCCCTATTATGATATACGATGAAGAAACATATTACCTTTATTATCGTTAAATTTTTGACACTATAAAGGAATTGTTAAGCAATCTAAATATACTTAAATATTGTGTTTTTGAATTTAAGGCAATGTATTATGAAGGACAAAGAATTTATCATGAACAATACAATGGGCAATGGTGGGAAAGGGTACAAAATTCAGTGATTTCTTAGGCAAATCTAGCAAACATCCTATTTATTTGACATTGGGAAATATTCCTAGTTGGGTTAGGAATAAACCTGATGCCAAAGTTCTTTTAGGGTATCTATCACAATTAAAAGTGAAAACCATCTCTCAAAGGAAAACTAAAAAATTTAAATTGGCAAAACGAACTCTTTATCAATATACTTTGGATATATTGACGCGACCATTGCTTGATTATTAAAATGATGGATTTAACTTTTGAATGGATAATAATAAATTATAGTGTTATCTGTTTCTTTCTGTACTGCTAGGAGACCTTCCGGAAGTTGCTGCATTAACTTTGGTTTTTAATTCTGTTAATTATAGATATCCATGTCATAAATGTTTGACAGAAATTGATGAAATTAACAATACAACCCTAGAAAACAATCAAATTATTCTAAGAACACCAGAAAATATGAAAGCTGTTATTAACGAAGATACTGTGGATTAATATTCATTATTTAGTACAGAAAACATTTTTGGAAACACCTATAAGTATATTTACTTGATTTGTAATATAAATAAGATGGTTTATGGTTTAAAAATTTTTTCAAACAAATCATATAATTAAAATGACACGTCTTTGGACTTTAAATGTCGCTGAAAACTTAATCAACTTAAGAGCTGAATATCAAAGTCAATTTGAATATGCAAGAAATTCTGACCATGCTGGTTTATGGGAAAGAATTGCAAATAATTTAAACACAGATAATACTATTCAAATAACTGCGAGACAGTGTCAAAATAAATGGTATTCCTTAGTAAGAGGATACCATAATTCAAAAAGAATTTTAAAAGGAGAAGCCAGAAGAACAACAAATTTAGTTTCTCCTAATAGATATGATGTACAATTTTATGAGTTGATGAGAAGTGAATTCTGGCTTCCTAGAGGTAGTAGCTTAAATTTATTATTATTTATTTAAATATATATTTATTAAATATATTTATTTTAGATGCTACACGGAGAGCTTATTTAAGACGAAGAATTGAGAGGCGTCAATTAGCATATCAAGAGTGCAGGCATTCTTGGAATCGATCAAGAAGTTAATAATAAAAAATCAATCTGAAGAAACATGGTAAGTATTAAAAGATTTAAGTAATATTACGTAATATTACATAAATAATATTAAAATTTTTTAATTCTGTAGCAAAGGATTGAGGGCGATATGGGGTTTGGGCTTGAATCCGATAAGGAGGATGATGAGGAAGACGATGAAAGTGCCAATTCCCGAGAACAATCCGTAGTGGAAGAAACTATGGAGGTTTCGGGTAGTAGTATCGCTGCTACACAGCAGATGCAACTTGAGTAGTTAATTTGTATTTTTTGAGGAAGCGTTTGCTAAAGAAAAGGCGTATATCCGTGAACCCTAGCACAACTTCTAAGCATTTCTTTTTTAATATAATAATTTTCGGAGAACCGCTGAGTGGTATGGCGTAGAAATTAAAATGTGAAATTATCGGCAAATATAAGCCATTTGGTGAAAACTATCAAAAAATTATTATAAATAGACTTCAATATCTCCTTGAATAGATCAAATAAAAAAATACAATAAATCCTTTAAACTATTACACATACATAAAATAACAAATGGTTAATTATAAATGTCCATTTTGTAAGCGAACATTTAGTAGTCGTTCAGGATATAGCCAGCATATTAATGTTTGCAATCCATCTAGCAGTGATGAAAGTGACGATGTTTCTATTATGGATATTAATGATGTTTCATTAGAAAGCGAAGAGATTTTTAATTCTATTAATTCTATAGAGGTATATATTATAAATAAAGATTTTTGACTTTTTGAAATATTTTTAAACATAATTTATTTTAGATGCATTATGAAAGTTTGCATGAAGATCTTCCTCCACCTGTTGAAGAATTATCACTTTTAAGTGACCATAGCGGAAATTCAGAAAATTTTATATCTGAAGATTCAATAATAAATCAAGATATTTTAGAAGAAGTTGAATCTGAAGTAAATGTAAATTACCCTAATGAAGTATACGAAGATTTTATGACATTAGTAA